CAGCCCTCGCCCCGCACGAAGCTGGTGGCCCTCACCCCACCAGAGCCAATCCCCCAGGATGAGGCCTTGCGGCTCATGATCTCTGGCACCCCCGCCACCCCGTCCTCCCCTCTCCCCTTTCCCCTGCTGTGGTGGGAGAGCAGCCGGGGTACCTGGCAGGTGGCAGGAGGGCTGCCCGGCTCGCTCAGCCCCGCGCAGAGATCATGGACCGCCGAACCACGCTGCCCCAGAACGTCTCCAGGGAGCATGTGTTGAAGTCCACCACCGACAGCCTGGCCTGCTTCAAAACCTCAGACAAGACCAGGTTGCCCTCCCTGCCTGTGACAAAACAAAGCAGAGGAGAAGGACAAAGTACAGAGCATGTACTGTGGCAAGCCACCAGTTTCGGTCTTTTTCGTGCCCACTGGAAAATTCCCAGTGTGCATTGCTTGGTTTAGCTTTACACAATACTTTTTTTTTGCCTTTGTCTTTCCCAACTGTGAAGCACAGCAGAACACTTCCTAGTACCTGCCATCACGGTTTTCAGCTGGGAAAAGGATCCAGTTACTATTCCGGAGGTTACCAAGAGCGGGTTGCACTGCTGTCACCCATGCTTTTAGCTATTCCAGGCAAGGAGATCTCAGCCTTTCCAGGACCACCCAGCCAGCACCTCTGAGAATGCATATTTATGAAGTGCTGCCTTTTACAGGTGTTTACACATTACTTAAAACATACATTAATGGAGAAAAAGGGCTTGAAACAGAAACCTAAGTAGCTGTGCAGCTCTGCAAACATGTGGTAGCTGAGTCACCATTTACTACACACAGGAGCTCCTCCGGGCACAGACCAAGGAGCTGTTCTTTTGAACAGGACCTTACTTGTGGTTAGGGCTCATGGCTGCAGCCAGAGTACAAATAATTTAATGCTGACATAAGAGAAAGTAGAAGTCGGCCACCTAATCCCAGATACGCTGTTACGCTAGGAACCTGCATTTCAGGTATTTGGCTTCCTCATCTAAACACGTAGGAGTCATAGTATGTGTAATATAATCCTTCTCTGGGTATTTGGATTTAAGAGAAAAAAATAATACCGCCCCTGTCAGACCTTGAAAACCAGCAGCACTCACATACCTGTTGTGTCCCCGCATCCAGTTACCCAGCAGGACTGTCCTGGGTAAAGAGAGCAGCCTCTCTTGGGCAGGCAGGCATAGCGGACAAAGCGGTTTGCTGTTATATCTTCCATAGGCTTGACCAAAGCAATATCATAATCCAGATGGTTTGAGTGGTTTTTCTGGAACCACTCATGCCGGTAGATTTGCTTCACGCGGTACACTCTCTGTGTGGATTCATCGTGGCTAAGGTTATGCTTTCCTAGGAGGATTCGCCAGTTGGTTACGTCTTCCATCTCGCCCCTAGAGGAATTTCAGATTGAGGAACCATACGCATATTTTTAATGGCCTCTTCCCTCCCTCCACTGATGGCTGTACAGGGCACTCCTCCCTGTGCCATACCCTTAGCCACACCAGATGTGCCTTTTTACCCAAACCTACATAGTGGATCAAAAAATGAAATTTAAAATGGCATTAGCCTAAGTAAAGGGCAAGTTGGTAGTTTGCTAAAATAAGGGCAAAAGGTTGGGTATAGATGTGATTTTATGGAAAAATAAACAAGAAGATCTCCTCACGTTCAAACAGTACCAAAGATGGAGACTTATATACTGTGGTGTTCCTCAGTGCTGGATAAAACTGTGTGTCAGTATCGACAGTAAGCCTCCAACCAGAGTACAAAGGGAAGCATTTTGGATGCATAAGAGGGATCTACATACACATCAAAAATAGTTAATGAGGACAAACGCATGCAACTTTTCCCTTGGGAAGTGCATGACACCACATGTGCTCCTGTACCCAAAATTCAGTACTATTTCTTGCTGAATGGGAATTACGCATGCAGTCCTGCAGCGTAAAGCCCATCCTTCCTGACAAGCCCTGACTTGGCTTTGCCTTGATTTTGCAAAAGTGCTTAATGACCCTCTTTGTACACTCAAAGATGTTCTTCCTTGCTCGGCTACAGTGTGAGAATAAAGGGCAGGGTGGGATTCATCCCTCCACACCCCCTTGGAACAGGAGCCTCAGTATAGAAGTGGAAGCTTTTCCTGCAGTTCTTAGGTATTGGCCTGCCAAACTGTACTACTCTGCACCGCCCAAAACACAGAACTTGAGGAATGTTCTCTGCTGCAATGATTTTACAGCAAATTTTATGGGGTTTATGCGCATGTTCTTAAAGGATGTTTCTGGTTCCTGTTTAGACCATTCCTCTTTCAATAACTGTGATTATTTAATTGAAGAGAATCAGTTGTGTTAACTTCTATGTTTAATGCCCCATAATGTAATTTCCCTGTTCTGCAACTCTACCACACAGTTAAGCAGCACATCGCTGCCTTTTAAAAGGGGAAATAAAGAAGTGCAGCACACTGACAGCGGTGCAGCAAGCACGGCACAGCTGGAGGTGAAGCCAAATGCCAAGGCAGACTAACAAGCTGACAGCTGTTCCTCTCAGAGACAGCAACGGTCTCAAAGCGGAGTATGAAATTATAGAAGAGTTGTCATTGCGGGCGTCAGAGGAATTCATGCAGCTCCTGGGAGAATTGCCAGTTGCTTCAAGCTCTGCGGCTGGAAGCGGGCTGTTTTCTCTTTGTCCCTGCCAGCCCGGGTGCATGGCCCTCCCTCCCGCATATCCTCTCTGACGTCTGTCCTTGGTCGCCGTCCAGGCAGGCCGTGACCTGGCACTCGGTCCCACAGCTGCAGTCCAGATCCATCCCCAGCCTTCCCCCAGAGCTCGTCCTGCCTGTGGCCGGAGGCCGACCTCGCGGCCACCAACCAAGGAGCCGAGCGGGGCAGCAGTCATTTGTGCTTAAATCCAAGGCTTTACTTCCCTGCAGGGGATTTTCAAAGATCTCCGAGCTGTATTTACTTGCATTGAATCTTTGATTTTTGTGTCGAGCTAACTCAATGGCAGAGATAAACTAAATATTTTTGAACTCCCACACAAACGGTTTCATATGCAAACTGTGAACAGATGTTCTAAAAACCTTTTCCTGCACCCACACTCCGCCTTTTTCCTTCCTCTAGTTTATGGATTTCTCATTTCTGCAAACTTTTTTTAATTACTGCCTATTTGTCTATACCACTTCACATGAAACAGAAGTACAGACTACACCTAACTCCACAGGCATCTTTCATTTAAAGAGGATCCCAGAAAAGTTTTTTGTAGCTTCTCCAGGAAGTCTAACCAAAGGCAGAACTTACTTCTGGAAGCAAGGGGCTGCAGTGAGAACCCAGCGTTTGTGAATCAGGGTCCCGCCACAGATGTGAACAAATCTCTTACTTGTTGTGGTCCAAAGCTAGCAATGCAAAAAACAACAACAGAAGTTTTAATCAAAGAAGTGTCATCCGTGAGTAAAGGGACAGAGAAAAAGAACAGATTAACTTGTGATAACAGAAACTATTTCTCTTGTGCAATAGAGGTGACTAGCAATCGTAGAGGGAAATACCTTTATTTATGTACTACTTCATCATGTATGCAATGAAGGTATTAGGACTCCATACCCTATGCACAGACATGTTGGTAAGCACATACCCAAACATTCAGATGTTTGTCAACACAGCATCTTTTGTGTGATAGATGCCTAGGCAAGCAGAGTTTCCTAACGGTCTCACAGGTTCTCTAAAACAAAACTACAGGTATGGCCATTTTAATCCTCATCCATTTTTTTCTGCCTTTTTTTTTTTGTTATTAGTTTTCCCCTCCTGAAAGCCTCCAAAGCTTCAGCTGGTAGATGCTTCTCAAACAGCCACCTCTTCATATACACATACCCTTTTGCAGAAACAGGAGATTCTTTGATGGCCAGAAATTAAATGTCTTCCCACTTATCACGGGGAAAGCACACCCAATTCAGGTATAACGGATAGGTACTGCAGTTCACATGTGCTTTACAAACGAAAGGAATGTCCATGCATGTTTTGTGAGTTACAATAGGCTTGAACATTTTTTTTCCCAATAGCTATGCAAAAATGTGCCAACACAAAGTGTTATTTGTCAGAAAGTGTGTTACTGACTTCAACAGCAACATCTTCCAAGGCAGTGATACTCAAGTCACAAAAATTGTTGTAAAGGCTGTGCATACCTGTAATGAGACTTGCCAAGGCCAGGAGTGTGGCTTTGCTTCAGTGCCTGATATAATTCTCCCTGCAGTGTTTGGCTGAAAATATCCTCTGCCACAGTTTGCTGGCCAGTCTACAACACACAGAGAAATACATTCAATAAGCAAAGTCACATCCCAACAGTGGTTCACTGATCCTAGACTTGGTGGCTCCTACAACTTGAAATATTGAGGAAGGAGATAAATATTAAACATAAATCCTTAGTCATGTTCCACATACACCACACAGTCATTTTTTGACTAACAGCCTGGCACACTTGGGATGTTAAAAATGCTGTAAATTTAAGAAGCCAGAACACCAATGGAAAAGTTTCCCATGCAAGTGTAGAGTGCTCTGTTAAAATTTCAGAGACCTCTAGTTTCCCAAAGAGCTGAGTTTTGTGGTTAAACCCCCCATGCCTCTCAGCTTGCAAGTGACTGGCTTTTGGGACAGGGCAGCCGCTTTGCATTTGGCCGCTTGGAGGATAGCTCAGATGCAGGCTAACGGAGAGTAGTTAGTGTTCAATAACTGGGCATAAAACTAAGTTTGAGTTGGTTTCAAGACATTATCTCTGAAAAACTATTTATTCCCAGGGACTCACTTTGCATTTTAATTAGAAAACAAACAAATAAACAAACAGCACTTGATCCTGCACAGTGTATTTCTCTAGATCATTCATTACCTCCTGCTTGTTCTGGCAGCGTTGAGGAGATGAGCTTAAACTAGGCAAAGTTATTATTAATCATCTTTGGCAAAAGACAGCTGGGTTCTGCGATGCTAGAAAGGTGGGAGAGTGACGCAGGAAAGAGCTGGTGTCTGGCACAGTGTAGAAACCTCCAAATTTAATATCCCCAATAGAGAGAAGTACTTTATTTTGTATAAAGGCATATAATACCCAGATATTCCATTTTTCTATGGAAGAAATAATAAAAAACTTAGATAAGAACCTAACGAGGAGAAAATGCGCGGGGAACGCGCAGACGTGGTGACCCAAGTGGGGCGCAGGCCCCACCACAAACGCCTTGTATTCGAACACAAGGAAAAGGCCTCCAGGGAGGCGAAAGCAGAGGAGATCCCCGTCCCTGCTTTCTGCAGTCGCAGCCAAGGTCTCTGCGCCAGTGCTCAGGCACAGCACCAAAGGGCTCACACTAGGAGGCAGGGAGGCGTGTAAACAGGGTGTAATTTCAAACGATTTTAACTAACCTAAACCCGTTTTTACAAAGCTTCAACCTACTTCAGAAAACTTGTTCTATTGCAGACATAGATTCAGCCTGTAGTAACACAGCTGTGTGATTTTCATCACTAAACATTGTGAACTTCCCTCTCTCTATATATATTACACACACATATTCCAGTCAAAATTGGAGCAAGAAAGGACTCTCAGTGCAGGCTTAAAGCACAAGGGCTGTTTTACCTGACAACTATGCTGCATTATGGCTCTAGGGATTGCTCTCCTTTAAGGCGAGAAGCGGATTGTTGAACAACAGGCATCACACAATCAAAACAGGTTTCTTCTGCTTTCTCAGAAACACTTGTCTCATCTTTTTCCAAGATCCTTTTTAAGAAAGCAGCTACAGCAGCATGGCACTAAATTAACCCCTAATTCTACCGTTAGACTGAGGTCGATGCTGAAAAAAGCATGAAATTTAGCAAACACTGATCACTATGAAAACAAGGAAGAAATTGCAATATAACCCATCACACCATGAATTCAAATTAACGTGCAGGCTTTCCTAAAATTGGATTCTCTGAGGCAATGGCATTTGTAGGGTTTTCCAGACAACGTGAACACAAGACAGCATTTAACTTACCTACATGCAGGGATTTCTGCTCAGTCCCAATCTGGGGTGAAGCAGTTTGCACTACAGCCAGCACCAGAGGCAGGGTAAGCAAATTATCTACAACCATTGCGAAAAGCAATCAGAGGAGATGAAAGGACTGACTTTTTATGCTTCTGTCATTTCTGAGGGTGTCGTGTCTGTGGCAGGGGAAGGAGCAGAAACGCCAGCTCCTGCTGTTGCTGTCAGGGCAGTACGGTGCGGGTCAGATCACGGCACCCAAGCCTGGATAGTTCTGTGTGCTTTGCGCACTGCGAAGAGCTGCCCGTCAGCAGTTGTGCCCTGGAAAGCACAAACAAAAGGATGTTTCGGCAAGGTGCACCGTGCAGGAAGCTGTGACCCCATCTCTGCTTGGCAGTAAAAATTGTCGGAGGTGAGAAGGGACCAGAAAATGCAGGGAAGAAAGAGTGGGTGTGCAGTGGCAGGCTGTGCGCCAGGTGCTGAGCGGCAGGTGGAGCTCGGGGATGTCACCCGGGCCGGTGGGAGATCACCACAGCTCTTGACCCACATTTGTTGTGTTACGCTACTTTTAACGCCACTGGGGACAAAATCTCTGCTTCGTTACACTGCTGAGCCGCCTGCGACACTGTTGTTGCTGGAGTGGGCTTTTCTGCCCCTAGGCGAGCAGGCAGTGGCTGGAAGGGGATGGAGGTCTGCAGTGTCACTTCCTTGCTTGTGTTGCTCCCTTTTGTTTTCTAAGCTTGCTTCATGTATCATCGGAGTGGCATAGCCCGTAGTATATTGAAAGGCTGATAATAAGATAGATGACATCTGTTTAGGTCACATATTAGATAGGATTAACGCTTCTAAAGATTTACAAGCTACAGCTTAGTACTTCTGCTATCTGAACACATTGGCCCTTGTACATGTGATGGCTGTCAGCTCAAGACCCAGCACTTCTGCAGCTTGAGAAAGATGGAAGGCGGACATCCAGGTGACCATGGCAAAAGATATGCACCATTCCCTTCACTGGTGCAGACTGGCAGTAAAAGCCACAAGTGACCGCGTGCTTAGTCTTGTGAAGGAGCTCCTGGAGAAAGAAAGGACCCCGCAAGCACTGGTTTTGCCCGGGGCAGGGGTGCTGCCCCACCAAAAATGGATACACTCGTTCCACCTCGCAGAGGTGAAAAAGGAGCACACCCGGTTTTATACCAGGCAGAATTTTTGGCCGCAAGTTTCTTTTTGAGTAAGAAAAGGAACAAAATTCTCACTAACCCACACGTCACCCACAAAGCTTGCCCATCTCTTCCCCTTTATAAACCAGGTGGCTCTGTAGAGCTACCCCCTGTAGAATGGCAGGGGAGTGGGATGCCCTGGACTCTCACATCAGCAGAAAACACCATGGCTCCCTCCCTCAGCAAGCACGCAGTACTCGTGGGCACGAGCAGCCCAGGGCTCTATGCACAGGCTCACAGGCTTTAGGTGCTCCTTATTTGCAGAGGGTCAGCTGGATCTTGTGACCTGTATAAATAACAAGGCTTTGGAAGGAAGCTCAATAGGCACGTCATGTTCTTAATTTCAGATCCATAGTTCTGAATGGAGGAAAAATAAATAAAACTTAGAAATCAAAGCTTGCTTCACTCTTAGAGTCCTAAAGCCCCCTGAAAGGGAAAGGCACAAGTGACTGATGCAGCAAGTCCCACCAACTGGTACTGTGGGAGTTGATTAGAATGATTTCTTTCCAACTCATAAACCGACATGCTGCCTCTTTCTCTCCAGCCAGTTAACAGTATTACTTCGCACTAATAGACTGCTTTCATTTTCAAGGGGCTTAAGACGACAAATTAATCACCTCAACATGTCTGAAAGGAACAGATGGTAATGAAGTATTAACATTGCAATTTAACAGTTGGAAAAGCTCCTGAGAAAGGGGGCTACAGCAGTGTCTGGAGGACACCCGGCCCTGCTCCCTGTTCGAAGCCGGGGTTCCTGGGTTTCGTCTCTGCTCCAAGATTCTGCTTTATCCCAGCCTCACCACACGTTACTTTTCCTAAGCAAAGCTACACGTTTTTTCTTATTCCATCTTTAACAGGGAGTAACATCCTTACAGAAGGCCTCTTACCTCAGCATGTCTCCAGACAGGTCGCTGCTGCATTGGATTTAAAAGACTAAATGTCTATCCAATAATGCAATTAGTCCAGCTTGCCATTATTTCTTACTGGCTATAAGCAGAGAAGCGATCAGGAAGAAATACATTCCCCTGCCCATACAGTGGAGGTGTTTTTCTGTCCCTGAAACGTCTTTGGTTACAGTTGGGTACAGAACGGCCGATTATGTATTCCTCCTCACTCACTGCTGTCTCAGAGGACCATGGGCACAGGGCAGCGTCGCTCCGTGGGGCCTTTCGGCTCAGCCGTACAACACACAATTTCTTAAGCTACTTCTGGAAGGAAGATAAGCTTACTCTAGAGCAGGGGATCCTACAGCAAAACTTGTGTCTGAAGGGTGAGAGCTGTGGCCGTCCTTAGCAGAACTAGCTCAGGATCCAGGCTGTAACAACTAAAAGGTCTCTTCCAGCAGCATGAGGCCAAGGGCAAGTGGCCGGCAAACACTGCAGACTGAAGCGGGGGTGAGAGAGGGTCCACAGCACCTCTGTGAGGGGGCTGCCAGCTTCGGAGAGCCCCTCAGCTGAGTTTGTTATGAAGGCACGAGTGTTACTGGGTCCGGGGTGAATTTCGTTAGGTGGCCCTCCCACCTCATCCCCAGCCACAAGCAACCTGTCACAAACACAACTCTAGAAAGCCATGTTTCAGAACAAATAAACATTTTCAGGAGAAGACCAAACAAATAAATACAATTATTTTTAAAACTAACTGATATGACATTGACTAAGCAACTTTTCAGTTAGTTATTTTGTTTGTTTTTTTTTTTTAAAGAATTAACTTAACTATGGAAGGTTTTTATTTAAAACATTGAGAGAATATCCTCTATTTCAGTATTTAACCTCACAGTCAGAGATTATCTCAAATTACAACTGTGCAATGATAACAAAGCCAGTCAGTGTCAAATGTCTGACAGGTTTTGGTTTCTCCTCCAGGAATGGTAACAGTAAATATGGTAATACATCTCCTCTGTTACTAAACCAAGATAATAATTCAGAGTGAAATGAATTATTATAACTCTTTTTCAGAGCTATTTCATCAGCATACTGATATTAGTATCAAACCCTTTCAATCTGTGCTGAATCACTGACCCAAGCATCTCAGCCCATTATCAATCCCATAGCCATCAGGTATCAGTTCAGTCCTTCCAGAGACATTAGTTATGGTCTAGGGATGACACAACATACCCAAAATACTGCAGTGCCAGGTGGCTGTTCCCATATTTTAAGGGAAAGAAGGAGCACTGAGGCAAAAGGGTTAAGCTCCCAGTGTGCCACTGCGGCCCTCACTGAGGATTTGTGTGAAAGGCAACCCCAGTTTGATCAGCTGTAAATGGTCCTGGAGCATTCAGGCTGGGGAGCAGAGGCAACACGACATCATGCAAACTGGTTTTCAAATGGGCTCAAGAAAATAATCCACCCTGATTTCACCCTAGCTTGACCAGTGTCCATGTTCAGCATCGACCCGCTCAGTTATAAATCTAGTGTAAATTTTCTTTCTACTTTATTTATATTTAAAAGTAGACCATAATGGATTTGGATTTTCCTATGTTAGAAAACATTAAAAAAAACAGAGATACAGTTCTCACATTTACAAGAGTAACACTTGAACAGAGCACTAATATGAAGAATACTTAATATACAACCTGATTGCATTTAAATTAAAAAAAAAAATTGAACTCAAATGCAAAGCAAATCCAAATTCCCTTTTTTTTTTTTGAGCCATCCATCATACAAGTGAAACAACTTATTTTATCTGTGTAGCTAATATTCAGATGAGTATGTCTGTTTTTTTCCCAGATCTCCCTTAATATAGCTTGTCTTTTAATCCTTCCCAAAAGCATAGGAAATCCTGAAACACAAACACTATTTTTGTTATCAACAGCGACTCCAATTCGTACCTTAAAGACTCACAATGCCTGCAACGATCAAGCATCTGTTTTTCTTGATTAGCAAATCATTGGTGTCCTTTCCCCTTGCTTGTCATTTATTTTTCCCATCCAGGAATGATAATCACTGGTTAGTACTGTAACAGCAAATCTGTACCAATGCATAAACCATAGGTAATTCACACCAGAGCTGTATGAAATCTAAGAGTTGATCCAGCTTTTACAGTATACAACAGCCAAAGCACTCAAGGGACTTTGCCATATTGTTCCAGTCCCTTCTGCAAATTATCTCTTTCTGACCAGTTTGATGCTGGTCCTATTTTATCATCTTCCTAGAGTCGGGGGCTTTATTTTGGAGGAGTGCATGGGATGGTGGAGGTGGGGAGGAGAATCAAGATTATTCCACATCACATAGCTTAAAAGTATGGATGATGATGGTCACAGGAGCAAGGTACTCTTGCTATTTTAAAGCTTTAGTTTGACTGTTCAAATCTTTAATTCTCCTGCACACTTGAGGACAAGCTAACGGACAACACAAGGGTTTAGGCCTTTATAGTGCTTAAAATTCTCAAAGCGTAGTATTTGAAGAAAGGAAGAAATCAATGTTTGGTACTCCTTATGATACTCTGGACCATAAAATGACCCCATATAGAAATCGTTTAGGCTAAATGCTAAACAACTGTGGAAGTGACTTCTTTTAGTTACTCATTACTTCTTTACTTCTAGTAAAGTTTTAATAAAATGAACTTTAACATCTAGGATCATGACCAAAACTTGCACGCTCTCAGCTACAGAGGCATCCTGAGTAAGGCATCATATTCCAGTGGTTTCAGACTTGGTTTGTATGAAATTCATTTTGAGTTCAGACTTTATTGAGGCCAAAGTCCCAGGGCCTGAATGAAGCCACCTGAACTCAAAGCAAGTTCACAGGAGCCAGCTCTGTTTAATTTTAGTGTTTAATTCCACTTTGTCCAGGGATGAAAATTTGATCTTGAACTACTCTATTAATGTATCACAGCACAATTCAGCTAGCAGCTCCTACATTTAAGGGTTTTCTAGATGAAATTTTAAAGCTGCCCTAAGCACCAGAGGCTCCTATTGGTATACACATGTCAGGTGAACATTATGTAGACAGCCTGCTAACTTACTGGAACAAAAAATGAAACCACAACAACAAAAGCACCACCACACACATTTAAAGAAAGAATGGATAACTGAACAGCAGTAAGTTCTCTGACATTTCAAGTTTTCCTTTGAGACAGAAATGAACATTCCTTCTCTCACTTCATCAAAAAATACTGCACATTCCTAGTTTCCTGAAAAATCTCAGACATTGACCAAAGGCCACATATGACACTGGAAATAATAGACTCACCTTCCTTGACAAACCTTCCACTTCAAACAGGCCCTGCACTATGGCTGCATTACAGTATCATAAAAGGTTTCTCACTGAGAAAGTGTTTGCAAAGTTGGTTTAGGGAGAAAAGAAGTCTTTAAGCTGCCCATATGACCAAGGCACTTGGAATAAATAACGCTAGAGCCGTACTTTGGTGAAGACACAAAGTCTCACTTTCAGCAGACAGGGAACGCAAGATGAGCAAAGGTTACATGCAAACTGTTGCCTGTGGTTTATGCAACAACAAAATAACGACTGTTCAGGATAGATGCACGTAAAAAGAACTCACTGGAAATTACTTTTAATATAAGCAAACCAAAACTGCTTATGATTTGTAGGGTGAGAGACTAATCTGAACAGCTTATTTTCATGTCTCTAAAACAAGCATTCAATAAGTAATTCACATTACATGAGTCATCTTTGGTAATACTGTACATTTGTGTCAACCACTTGGTAAACATCAGTTCTGGATATTTAGAGTGTAATTCATCATAACTACAAACTAATTTGAAAGTTGCAGGAGCATCCTCAAACTGCACATCACCTTGCAAAGGGAAGAGTTCAGACTAGCAATACCGAAATTACTTCACAGTTATGTGGCAAAAGTTGACAATCCTTTGTCATACAGCAGTACACTAGTTTGTCATTTGTCTACAGTTAAAGTGGGCTTATAGTCAGCATTATTACAAATTAACAGCAAAATAGCTCCCAAAACAATTTAAGGGAGTAGGATTGAAAGCTAAGAACTTTGACTAAAGTATCATTTTCTAACTTTGTTTTTCAACCCTAAATTATTAAAATACAGAAAAAAAAGTCATCATTATTTTAAAAAGATGCATTCTTTAGAAAAGAAGTCTCATTCCTTACAATATGATTTAAAACTAACATAGAAGAATAAAACAGTGCTACATTAAATACAGTCAAGAGCATTCAGATGGCATGATGTAGGTACAACCTTATGGCCCAACCATGGGGTTTTCCTTGCTTTGATATGTATTTGATGGTCACTGAACTTTTCCCACTTATCCTGAAGTGGATTGTCCACATGTACTGTGTTAACACTTAAGAGTCAGCATTTATTTACAATTTAAAAGCAGCACAGCTGTCCTACATCCTACGGCTGTGCTCACTCCACTGCAGTACTGGAACGAGCACAACAGCTTGGATATCTCAGGGAATGCATCATTGTTCTGAATGGCCTTTTTCTCCCCATTTTATCAGAAGATGGTTCCTCATTACTTTTCTCAGCCAACTGAGCAGGCTCTGTCTGGAATTGTTCTATTTGAATCTCGAGATGTTTTTGAATGGCTAAGCCAAGGACTTCTGGATCCACAGACGCCCCATACACTTCCCACGTCATTCCTTCATCATCCCATCTCACTTCACGTACTGGAGACTTGGGGGCCTCCAAGTCTTGCTCTAGGTTCACCTCTGGGAACACATGCGAGTGGCTTTCTGCTGCAGTCGCCGGGCTTGTTGCTACAGATTTGCATTCCCTGGTTGGAAGTGTTTGTACCTCAGCATCTCTACACTCAAGAGCTGGTTTCAGTCCTTTGGTTATATCATTCATTGAGGTCATAGTCCACATATCCTTAGTTGTCATTACCATGTCTGCACCTTGCTGGCTACTAAAGGCAACACGGGCAGCCTTTGTTTCTGGAGGAGCTCTGTCCTGCTGAGCACAGTGTTGAGCATGTTGCAGTTGTTCTCCAGGAATGCTACAGCACTTCAGGACTCTTTTGGCATCCAGGCCTGATTCACTTACTGATGACACCAGCTTAGGATATGTCAGAATGTCTGAAGTAGAAAAGGAATGAAAATAGCCAGGTGGTGCCTGCTCTTTTCCCGACTCACTAACCGAGCATACCAACCGTGGAACAAGTTGTATAGATGGTATGGGCAGAGAATGGCAATAGGCAGGGATGGTGGCATCTGCCTTCATACAAGGATCCTGCTTTATATTACAAGGCCCTGCAGAGTTGTTATGAACTGTCATCACCATGGGGGGGTATGCAGAGTTTGGAATATTACCGTAAGTCAGACCACCATGAATAAACCCAGTGGCTTGACTGATCATTGTCTTGTTTGAGAAGCCATTTCCAGGCATGTGGGGTCCTAGAACAGCAGTGTGAAATGTTCCAGGATCTGTGTAAACAGTAGTGTTACGTGGAATACCACCACTGTCAAAGCTATTTGTGGGTACTTTTTGGTCTCTTGGTAGAACTGGAAGATGAGTCACAAGGTTTTGATAGTGAGATGTATTTTCATTTGTTTCTGATCCATATCTCAGTGTTTGGAAAGACATCCTAGCCACTGGTGGACCATGCCTGCAGCTAGAAGAGCTTAGGATGGAGTGAGTAGCACTGCTTTCCATGTGAGTGACATAAGTCTGCTGTTTGCAACTGCAAGTTAAGTCTGAGTGGCTTCGCTGAAGGGCAGTTCTTGGTTCTTCCGTTTTACACATGCTTTTCTGGTGGACAATGCAGGCTGAAGAAACATTCTCAACAGTGCTGCTCTTTACATGCATCTTAGTGTCCCCCACTTCCCAGGATGCTGGGGACTGTTCAGCAGTAAGAAAATGGTTTGTAGTCTTAGTTCTGCACTGTGAATTGTCATTGGCTGACTGCTCGCTTATGGTTTGGACCGCTGATCCAAGTCCCATCATCCCAGGCTGCGAGGAGGACCATCCAGGACTCGGCACACTCCTTGCATCACTCTTGTCTCCCAGGGTATGGCAGATTGTGCTACTATGGCTTTTCTTCAGCTCTGGTTTGTTGCTTTGTCTTTCCTCTAAACTTGATTGCTGGGTACAGGCCAGACTTGAGGAGCTCTTCGACAGGGGGTGACTGTTGACATTCAAGAGCCCGTGACAAGTAGAACTTAGTGAGTCCTGGTAGGAATGAGTGTGGAGCTGGTGGCTGTCAGCTGACATGGCAGAGAGAGATCTGCAAGAAACAGAAGAGAAGAAAAAGAAGCAATTTAAGAAGGAAATATATGCACTGGTAACTATAATCTCTATTGGCTTTCTGTCTGGGCTACTTGCTTTTCACAGTTCACAAATACTTTTTAAAAAGCACTATACTGTAGTCTCTGTGTACTTAGACTGGCTAGTTTCCATTTTCAGTTTCCACAAAGTTTTTTTTCCCTGAATTAGATTTAGGATTTATTGAAATTCTGTTTTTTTCCATTTCATAAAATACAAAAGGGAAAACAATTCTTCTTGGTTTCTACCTTTTAACAATAACAATCTCAACATTGCCAGGTATCATCTCCCCTGAATTTACTGCAGCCATTTTTGGGACATCCAGAGATGTCACACAACTTGAGCAAAGACAGAAGTATTTTTAACCAAGATAGCTTTTCACCACAGTATTCATTAAGCTAATGATGTTAAGTGTATTGTTAAAACAAAAAACTATTCAGTTTTAATCTCTTGACATTGTCATTTCAGAAGGTATCCAGTCACCGCTGGATACAAACAAAGCCTCAACACCTGAACAAATTCTCCCTTTCCCCTGCCCAACCCTTCCTAACAAGCTGCTTTGGATTTCATTTCACAAAACGACCACTATTTCAGTCAACTGTTTTCCCAGAGTCCACGCAAGTGTACAGCAGATGTGGACAAAACTGTTCTGACCACCTGTGGCAGAGGAGACATGACATGAAACCCAAGGAAATGAGCTCTGCCAGGCCTGTGTGGAGTCAGTGCAAGTGTTCCCAGAACAAATAATGCTGGGCAGCACAGGGCAAAGACACCCAGCTGGCCCAAGACAGGGTCAGTGGCCATTCTAGCTTGTGCTTACCACTGGCACGATAGGAGTTGACAGCAAAGAGGGATCCGGTGAAAGCCCCCAGGTGAAACTCCCCTAGGAACCACTGAGCTGTGTGGAAGGTCTGCATCTCAGCACAGAGTCTGTTAAGGGAACATGCTTCAGTGCACAGTTTGGGCTTCTTGTGCTGATCACCTTTGGGAATCCACAGGTTCACACTGGCTGTGGAAGGTACATACACACTGCACCAGAAACAGGGTAAAAACAAAACAAGAAAATCTTTAACCAAAGTATTGTGGTTCTTCTGTCCTTCTTTTAGTGTACTCAGTCACTTCTATTGTCAGAAAACACTTGTTTCTACTGGTTGGTATAGTATCCTATATGTTGTTAACATTTATGTTAGCACTTCTACATCTAAGAGAAGTTGTAATTGAAGATTTTTAATCTAACCAGCTTTAGTGATCCATTTTTGTTGATTGAATCAGATCTTCCACTGACTGACTGCACACATTCCCTTGGTGTCCCAGAGGTCTTGCAGCATTTGTGTAACTAAGTTAATATACTCATATATCTGTATCTATCTGCACACATACATATAAATATATCCCTTTCCTAAAAAAACCCATTCTGTTGAACAGAAAAATCTAGAGCATTTATTCATTGCTTCCAGGTCAAGTACTACTGGATATTTTGTGTGCAGAAGTATAGCAGAAGCCACAAGTTCTCGTTTTAGAGGACTGTCCCTCAGATGCACTCCATACGCTCTGCCTCCCTAGCAGGACTCTTACAGAAACCTTCACAATTTCTTGTGAACTGCATCACTAAAATGAAAATGAACGTGTGGAACAAGAAAGGTTTGTACATGTGGTGGACAAAAGCACTCTGTAAATGTAATGGGAAAGTTCACTCATAACGCCAAGATACCACTGGCTGCAAGGGCTCACATTCAAACCTCTCAGTGAGAAGCTTTTAATATGTGATCCTTTTAAGGTGATATTTACAGACTCAAAGTGTCATCTACCAACATAACTGATAAAGAGCACACTTTTTGCTCCACTCACAAACCAAGAACTCTTCTGCTGATCCAGACAGCTATCAGTGCTTACACTTGTAATTCCATTTTGTTGTTAACTTTGGCAAGCTAATAGTTCAGGTTGCAATTTTCCCATCACCTGAAATCCACTTGCGTTGGCTGTTTTCCATAATGAAATTAAATTGAGCAGGAAAACATTAAAAAATAACATTTGCAATCACTTCTTTGAGAAGCTTCTCATTGTGGGCTCTGTAGTAGGGTTTTGCAATTGACAGCAATAACCTGTAGCATGAGGGTTCACTCAAATTTGGACTCTATGCAGAAAAAAGGCACTTTTCGCTCCTTCATAACATGTTTCTTGAGTTAGACGTTAAACTCATTACAGACTCGACCCACGCCAAGCCTGCTCCGTACGCCTCACAGCCTCTACGGCCTGTGGGACTCCACAGGCTGGTGGCATCTAAGGACGACACAAAAGCATCTTTTCTTCCAACAATGGAACTTCAGATTCCTGGGTGAGAGGCACTGCTGAGTGCAGCTGCAGGCAAAAGCAACCACTTCTTGCTAGAGTGGCCATCAATGTATTTCTGCATGTTTTTCAAAAGCCCTCACAAAATCACACTCAACACTTAGAAGGGAAGCAAGAACTGGGAAAGTGACAGTTTTAAAACACTTCACTCATCTCCCGCATCTTACCTATCCTGCAGCCACTTACACATATAGGTATAGTCTGCCACATAGAATTCAAAGGAGTCAATAGGATTAAACACCAAAGCATAGCTGTCTGCAAGGTGAAGACCTTACATTTAATCTCTTTAAAAAAGATAACACCTGCAAGGGCTCTCACACACACTGGGATGAAACAACATTTACTAGTGGAAATCCTTAGTCACAAATATTGAGTCTCAGGTGAAAGGAAGCTTCAAACACATTCTGTAACAGAGGATAGAAGGCTGTGCAAACTTTGAAGAGCTCTCTCACAAAGTTCACAAGATTCAAATATGTATATGCACACAGATACCAAGACCTCCATTTTTCCTCCTTTATGTAGCTTTGCTGCAGAAACCTCTGTAACTGGAGGAAGTGATGCAATTTGAGATTGATCCATCGCCTGAATGTGAAGATACACATTCAGATGAATGAAACAGTCCAGATATATGGACATCATGAAAACAACATCCAGTGCGATATTTGCAATGAAACCCTCAAAGAGAACTCTGAAGAGATTTATTTTTGCCCCACCACATAGACTCCAACTGCAGCTGAAATCAAGACCAAACATGGGCCAATGCTACATGCATTACACATGTACCAATACATGTATAACATGTATAATGCTGTTGCATTTGAACATCTTTGCTCAGATAGATCAGTGTTCCATGCTAGCACAATTGTAACAATTATCCTGTGACTTTTGGACCTTAAAAACAATGGGAGCAGTTACCAGTTGAGTAAAACAGCATCTTTAGGACATAGTTAAGGTTGAGGAAAAAAAAACAGTAAAAAAGGGAACGAAGCCCCATTCAAACAAGATGAATCAGCCTCCTTTAGAGTAATGCACTTTCCGATCATGTTGAAATCCAAAGTTACATTTTCCCAGACAGCCTGAATACTTCCCCATTTATAGGCCACCTATTGCTTTCCCTCTCCATCCCCTGCTCCTCTTCGCCACTCCGGAAAGACCTACAAGCTCTTACATGACCAGCACATTTTGCCCACCTGGCAGAGGCAGGGTCCTGCGCCAGACTCATGCACGTGGAGCTCTGCATGGAGGGTGATGGCTGCAGAACAAGTCAATGTCTGGTAGACCCAGCCTTTCCTCACTTCTGCTGCAGCCAAACATTGCCACAGCATTTCACAGTAGCGTAAGCGAGCATGAGCATGCAGGTGTGCCACAAACTACATCAGCTTGCTGACCCTGATTTATTTTTATTTTTTTTTTTAAAGCTGGCTTAGCTCTCACTACATCAAATCATCAATCCAGCCACACTGATCAACTAACGTCAGCACAGGGAGGAAACAGAAGACCACCCCCCGCTGCAGAAACATAAATTTACTAGTGGCATAAACCCAGAGCAAACCTGCACATGCGGTGCCCTTCCTGAGACTTTGGAAATGACATGAAATCCCGTCACCACCTTCCCAAATTCTACATTTCACACCTGCAATGCTGATGTGCGTGCTGATGTACTCTTACGTGTACATATACATCCCTACAGAAGGGACACAAGACCACATGTGCACACACCGGAGATGCTGTACTTCTACATGAGCTCAGGCAGACTGCACCCAGCTGATGACTTCTGAGAAGGGGCAAGAAGCAGAAGTGTCTAGAAGGTTACACCAACACATACACCAGGGAGGGGCTGGGCCCAGGTACCCAGAATGGTGCAACAAATTTTTCAAAACAACACCACCACGACAACGTGGAACCTCTCTATTTTTCACAGTCATGCAATGCCATTGTATTTTGTGAATCAGCTAATCAGCAATGGACTACCCATGCAAAACGTGGATATAAACACAGCTGACTTAGCGGGTACTTAGGGACCTGAAACAACTTTTTTTGCACATGTTGGGTGGAGAAGACTGCTTTGCTTAAATTTGCTTTTTAAAAAGTAAATACATAATTTATAGGAAAGTAATTTTATTCAAAAATACCTATTGTAAATTCTGAGTTGATCTGAGAGATTTCATTTGGAAATTCAAAGGAAACCTGCACCCGAATACACAAACAAGAAAGCATGAACTTTGAGGCAGATGCCCTGCTATGAATATATAGAAAATTGTTAGACAAGCAGAGAAAGGATTAGGATAGAAATGGAATTAACATCCACTATTTTTGGCTTAGCTTCAGATAGCTTATGAGGGGATCTAGGCTGCTTTCACTAATTCCACTGAACTACTTTAAAGCAACAAATGTGTATTTTGCTATGACTTATGATTAAAGTTGTGACCTATTTAATGCACTAGTAAATTTAGTCTCAGAATATTAAATATCATGTATGTTATCAACTGAAAAACATTTGCTGGTAAATTAATTATGATTCCAAATTTCTTCAGTATATTTGTATACCATATGTATGTACTTTTAATTACAATTTTGACAACAAACACAAGTGGATATAA